GATAGATAGATAGATAGATAGATAGATAGATAGATAGATAGATAGATAGATAGATAGATAGATAGATAGATAGATAGATGATAGATAGATATGGATGCTTTCACTTCTTTATATATAATTTCAGTTTCAATTATATTTAATAAAAGTTTGAGTCTTGATTAAGTCTTGCTCACAGGTACTTTCTTGGGATGAAATAACAGGAAGGAATTGTCAAGTCCTATGTTGAGCTATTGTCCAGATTGAATTCTTTATAAACTGCAAAGGTATTTCAGATAGGATTTTTTCTTAATCTGATTTAGTTATAATGGCAGAAACACAAGACATGTTAAGGGTACAGTATGGATAGGCTTATAGACAGATCCATATAGTTTTCTTGACAAGAGGACTGAAGTGACTTGCCATTGCACTCTTGGGACATTTTTTGGGAATTTCTTCACTTACAGCACTAATATCTCTTGATAGTCATCCATACAACTACTTCTGACTCTATTCAGCTTTTTTGGAACAGCAAAGATGAAGTAATTGTTGCCACCTGGCTGGCATTTTGTTTATATTAATGTCTCACTACACCTTATATATGATACAATTAACTGTTTTTAAAGGATCCACAAATATTTCTCAGTGGGTCCCAAGTATTTGATAAAGAAAAGAAAATGTAAACTTGAATTATTAAAGTTGAGTTACATGTAATAATGTTTGACTGTTATCTAGATAATTTATAAAAGGTTCTGTTTCTAAGGCAAATTTGAAGATATGTTAGGGTTTTGATCCAACACATGAAGATGGTACTAGCCAATAAAGAACTTGCTCCATAAAATTGTCAGCAGTTATATCACTTAACTTTTCAATCAGTCTTCCATTCCCTCACTCAAATAATTGATTTTTCTTTTATTATCAACCATTTCCTGAGCATGGGATATACACACATGCACACAAACATATTTCTATCTCACTTTCTAGAATTTTTAAGAATAAATTCAGATTCAGGAAGGAACAATTGATTTCACATCATTTATATAATGCAAAATATAGAATTTACCATGCAATTACATTATATTCCAGAGTGTTACTATGCCAAATACAATTTAAGAGACCTTTCTAAGTGGGAGTGAAGTGCCCATGTCTAAATGAAAGGATGTGCATCATGTTAGCATTTAATAGTCCTGTTATGATTCATTGTTATTTGTTGCTACAGCACTGAATGCCTTTCATTGTCCATCCCTGTGAAAATCAAGGCTTTTCTGGAACTCCTGTTGCTCCACTCCATGGGCATCATTATACAGGACCATCAATATTATACTGAAAATCATTCCCTTTCCCGATTACCAAATAAATAATTATGCAGTCTCCTCTGGGATTGAAGCCATTTGCTGATTGGTTCCATGTTTTATTGATTAGAGTGCTGTGATGAATTGGTCCCTGAAGAGGGGATGTCTGGCTGTAAACAGATGGTTGTGAACGTGCAGAATTATAATGATCTTTTGCATTCAAGGGCCACCACATGATTGGTACAGATAATTGGTACAGATAAAATTGGGGGAGCAGAAAGAACATTCATACAGAGCTCTTGCTCACATCATGTAAAAGGATTTATTGCTGACCTTGGGAAGGTATGAAAGAGTCATCAAAGAAAAAAGAAAAAAGCTACTAAGGAGGGACTTGGAAAGGAAACTACAGGAAGGAAAAATGAGAAAGAACCTTATTCAACCTTGATTTTGTTTAGTATAAGATAAGATTGAGGAAAACCTGGACAGACTTTCAAGATTCTGTTAATATACTTTAAGGCAACAATGTAACATTTTTGGAATCCTTGTGGTGTCTGTTTCTTGACCTGATCTACTTTGAAGAATTGATTCATTAAAATTGTCCAGATAGGAATAAGCAATTTAGGGGAAATAGATGATTTTTTCAACTCTACATGGTCTGAATCTAATTTGAGTGTCTGAATTTCACTGAGAGCAAAAAGTATTGTGAATTGTGTAGCAAACACAATCATCAACACCAATTCTTTTAATAGACCATAATATAAAATGAAGGATTCCCATTCATCTGCTTGTTTGGTTGTTGGTTATGCTTTTCAAGGAATTAAACCATCTTGCAGACTAGAATTGCCTTTTAGTTGACATTTTTAGTTCTTTTTTTCAAGATAAGTATGAGAGATTCTTAGGAACCCTTCTGTTTAACTGCATTTTGATTTGGTAAAACTTTGAAAAGAACTTTTGTTAGCTACAAATTCTTTCAAAGGTTTTTTGTGTGATGGAAAGGAAAAATTGCACAAATATATATGTATGCTTAATTCTGCTTTCAGTAAATGCAACAGTCCAGTACATTACATCCCTACCCAGTGCAGAATCTTATCCAAAAGCCTAAAAACCAATATATTTCCTCAGAACGAGGAAAAAGGTAGTAATGAGAATGTTATTCCCATGTAATCCATTTCATATATATTACACCATGTGTAATTTTTTGTTCTTTTTTTTGTCTCCTTTTTCTCATGTCATAGGACCTGGTACAGGAATTGCAGGCAATGGATCAATGTGTCTGGCCGTACCACTGTGGCTGTTGGCAGTGTCCGTGTTCTGCCTACTCAGTAAATGTTAATAACAGCTGAAATAAAAACCCAGAAACATCAAGAACAACACATAAAGCAAAAGAAAAAAAATGTCATACAGGAGACAGAGCAAGAGAGAGTGGGGGGAGGGAAAGGACAACTTCTTTCACAACTTTTGTGTGTGCTGCAACACAGGGAAGAAATTTCAGTGAAAGAAGAATCAGCCACATTTATTCTAACAACTGTCAAGCCACTGACCATCCAGGAGTATGGGAGACAGATTATCACATAATGAAGGCTGAATTCTGCTAAGGATGCGGAGATGCTGTAAAAAGAAACAATGAAATTTCACTTTATTATCTCCATTCTCTCATATCATTTTCTCCTCTCTCTTTCCTTATTTCCCTCCCTCCTTCCTTCCTTCCTTTCCTCCCTCCCTCCTTCAAGGAAAGAAATGGCCTTTGCTTTGATGTTGATAGCCATAATCTTTTAATTGGCTTGATAATTTCTTAAACTGATATTTAGCTTTTTCAGATACCTGTAAAGAATGATACAGAGTTCTCTAGCATACTGGTGTCCCATGAAGAAACTCCGCACAGCCCTTACCTCACTTTCTTTCCCTTAGGCTGTCCAATATATTTTGGGTATCTTAGCCCTTCATGCTTTGAGGATGATAAAATTTAGAAATTTTACTCATCTGCCCTCTTGTTCTTGCCAGTCTCCCTGTCTTCTTTTCTCTCTCTCTCTGTCATGTATGTATGAGTGCATGTTTCTGTGTATGTATGTATACATTTCTCTCTCTTCCTCCCTCCCTCCCTTTCTCTCTCTCTCTCTCTCTCCCTCCCTCTCAAAAGCATGCAAAGAAAACAGTCCTTGTGTACATAAATTCATTCCTGTAGATAATGGCTTGCATTGCACATGAGGATGACTGTTTCGCTTGGATGTGAATTCTGGGTGATAAGGAGATACACAATGGTTTTCGCAAAAAAAATTTGTTTTGACTTCTTCCTGCAATCCCAGTTTTAGAATCTAAAATTTAGAGCACATCCTTGGGTTTCTCTCGTTAAATCTGAATAGCAATCAAGTATAATCTGTAAGTTATCCTCATTGCTCTTCAATTTTCCTTTGTCTACCTAGCCATAGATAGGGCCAAAGATTCTGAGCCTCAAGGAGTCTGCAGATTAATTACCCTTGAGCATGTTCAGTCTTCGCTGAACGAGGATCACACAGGAACAATTGTAGCTATAAGAATCCATTGTCCAAATCCATTCCATTAACTGGAGAGAGAGGAAGTTGCAAGATCAGCAAAAGTGGTTCAATCTGTACCCTGCATCAACTACATACAGACTTAAAGAATTGATCTAAATAAATATTTAAAGGGGTTCAGAACTCCCAGGAATCTAGAGAGATATAGACAGGGTAGACAGTACATGTTATCATATATGTTACATACTAGTAGAAGGGCATATATAAGGCCATAGGTTCTGTCATGGGACTGAAAAAAGATGATAAGCAGCAATCATTGGTTGGGGAAGAACATCAAAGTATATCACTTATAGGTTATATCTAATTGTACTTCAAGAAGATATAAATATGGTCCCATTTTGTCCAGCCCATAAATTATATATATTTTGACTGTTTATTGTAAATCCTTGAAACTGATCCTGCAGTCATTTACTGTTGTTTACTTCAGGGCTGTCGAAATCCGGCCCGCAGGCTGGATGCGTCATGTGCTGGCCATGCTCACGCCTGGTTTAGCAAAGGGAGAAAAAGTCCCGATATGTCACATGATGCCACCATAACTATATGAGTTTGACACTCCTGCTTTCCTTGCATTAGAGGCCAACTTTTCTCTGCTTGGACAGGGTCATATCAGATAGTCTCTCTTGCTGAGGGATGGTTTTGAGAACACCTGTTACAGAATGCTCAAAAGAGGAAGAAAAGGGAAAATCCCTGAATGGAAAAATAAATATATTTTTTTGCCATAAAGCTGTTCATCTTGCAACTGTTCTAATGGATTAACCTGTGGCTACAATTATTCTAATTAGGGATCTCTAAAATTCTTGCCTTCTTAAAATCCATCTTTGTAAGTTAATATTCCGGGCCAGCAATCTTTTTTCTACAGATTAAAAAAAAGATCATAGAAAATTTTGTATGCATATTTGCAACATGTCATAATATAGAGAGGCCTTATATGGATTTGCCCAAATTTATGTAATGCTTCAGAAATCTTTTTTAAAAAATGTGAATCACTGTATTTCTTTCCTTGAGAGCTAAATTCCCTAATGCAGAATTTTAAAATATAAAGTTTCTGGAGTAATCTCTTTAAACACCCTACTGCTGTGTATGTGTAACTTTAAGTATCTGTACTTTTTTTTTTTTTTAGAATTTATGTAGGAAGCCAAAAGCTAGCAGAGACTAGTTTTAATCCTACTATGAAGTGTGATGGGAATGGAACATTCAAATTCACTTTTCGAATTGGTGTTGTGATGTTTTTCTCTCCCTTACACTGGTCCTTGTGCCTGGTCAATTTTCATAGGAAAATTATTTTCTTCCTTTAATAAGGTAGTGGGAAAACCTGTCCCAACCTCAGGATGGTGAATTATACTCTACACCAACATACATAACCATCATACAAACAACAAAGAATGCTGATAACTATGCTAAAGTAAATGTAATTTTGCAACAACAATAAAAAAATTAACGTGCCAACATTTTGATTTTACATCATTTAAGAAGCCAGAAAGATTTTAAAAGCCATCTCCTAAATCATGCTAAGGTTAGTTTAAAAAGAAAATCATTGCTAGTTGAATAAGAATCTATTTATATGCTATTTACCTATTTTATAAGAACAGCCTTTTTATACTGTGGTTGACTTTAGTGATTCCTTTCTTTGTCTAGCCAAGTCTCTAAAGGTAGGGAATCTGTTCATTCCTGATGTGAGTTAGAGAGTTGTCTTACAAACCAGGCTTACCCTAGTTTGACTCACTTATTACCTCACATTGGTTTGTTACTGAAAATTGGGTACATATGGATTTAAACAAATCACTTACCTGACATCTGCTTTGCAGAAAGAACAAGCTGAATTAATTAAAGTTGTCCCAAATTTTACTAGTTTTTAAAAGGAATCAGAGAGGCAGCAACTTAAACCCTAATCCTTAACTTAGTTCAGTGAGAAAAGTAAGTATATGCCAAATACATATCTAAAGATAAATGACATAATCATGATATATAATATCAAATCCAGAATTAATGTATCAGGCTTAATGCTAAGTACCCATTTGACTAGCTCCACAAGTGCAATTTGCTATGCAGTCCCAATTTGTACATTAAAAATGATTAGATTTTCCTTTGGGCAACTGTTGGTTCTTTTCTAGGGCTTATCTACATGTAATGAGAAGACATCCTACTGTTTCTCATGGACATATTTTCACAATAGTGTCTCCATCGTGTTCCAAGCTTGCTGCTGTGGCAGGTTGAAGGAAGTCGAAGAGGTCCTGGCATGATAGGTTCCAAAGGTTTTTGCTGGCATTACAATACAGGATCTTTGCAGATAATTATAAGAGATGGCTGATCAGCTGTGTTCCAGTTGATCTGGCAAATCTGTGGGGGCGGGAAGAACTACCCAATCCATCTTGGCTCTGTACTTCCACGGGTTTTCAACTGGAGCTGCTTCACTTGTACACCCTATTTCTTTTGGAGGCAGTTCAGAGGGGGAAATATCAACTTCAGAATGAGTGCAGATCTTCCATGAGTGCAATATTTGCATTGATAATATTGGTGCATGTTGGAGAAAAGCAATTGCAGAATTTGCCTTCCAAGGTATTGGAAAACTTGTATAGCAACGCTTGAAGAATGGTTTATCTGGGTTTTTTTTTAATTGTATACCCCTTTCCTTTTTTTAAAAAAAAATTATAGCCACAGGAATATAGAACTATTTTCCATCATTTTCAGTTCTGGTTAGAAGAAAAGCTCCCTACTCCAATGTGAGCCACCTTTGGCAAGCAAAATAAAATATTTCTGAAACAATGAAATCCAAATTCTGAACTCCACACCACTATACATTAAGGATAGAAGTTGGGATTTCCTGCCACTAGGTGATGTTGGATAGGAAGGAAAAAGACCTCCATGAATCCAACTTCTGCACATTACTTTCTGTGAGAAGAAAATGCTCAGTTGCAGAAAAAGGGAAACTGTGGGAAAGCGCTTTTTATACATTCTTCCCATCCTTGATATGGAAGAAAAGCACCTGTTTGGGGGTGCATTTATGCACATAGCTTCTTCTTTTCTTTTAATGAACACTGCTGCCTCCTTGTTCCATGTCAGTATTGCAGAGCAGTTGTTCTTTGATGAGTTGTTCTCCTTCTGTTTTAGCTATTTCTTTTTGCTGAGTTCTGAAGTTTGGAGGTTACTTTTTCAGTCAAGTAAGCAGACAGACTGATTTCCCAGTGCTATTTCTCAAAAGCTTAGAATTTACTATTGGATAGTTAATATTCTATAAAGGCAGGAAGCAGGAAAGGGAAGGGTATGGGCAAGAGTGAGAGGGAAAAAAGAAGAAACACAACAGAAAAACACACAAAAAAATCCTTCTTAGAAGCTGCCTAATATTGGATAGCTATGCCTAACACCTGTAGTTTGATAAAACACAAATGTATAGAAGAATCCTCCCCATTCCTCCTCCTACATAAGGAATCTTGAAACAGCAAATGAGATGCTTTCTTGGCACTTATAAGAATCTTGGTTTCTTGTTCAATAATGCCATGACCAACAACTTTTCAAATATTTTGAATATCTTTGAAAAGCCTTTCTCAAACCAATTCTTCGGGAAGTATGTTTACTAACATTCCCACTATCTATTAGCTATGGTATCTAGAATTCTGATATTTATCCTATGACTAAGGGACCAATATGCGGAGTTTCAAGGCAGCATCAATGTTTGAATATCACATTACCTGATTGATTGTTCAGTCGATTCCACAGGACCATTAATTCTTCAGCTAACTTTCTCAAAGAGTTCTGGAATGTACATGTAGAAAGGTGATCAAGTAGAAATGACTCTGAATTTGGGCTAAGCCTAACCAAGCAAGCAAGCATTCATTTTTCTGTGATTTGCAAACTCTTAAGAGTTTGTTCATTTGTGCCTTCTGCAGGATGCTAGAATAACTAGAATAAGTATTTTCAGAAACATAATTAACTGTAGCAAGTGGGATTCTAGACCTTAAGGGGTTCTGACAGATTGATTGTGAAAGGGTATAAATTTCAGTTTATTCTCTTTTGTAAACAAAAACAAAAACATACCAACATTTGCAGTTTTTAATAAACAGGAAGAAAGTAATTTCAAGTCTGAAAATAGATTGAAGGTAGAAATACTTCTTCCCAACAGCGTCTTTGTTAAATTAAATATGCATATAACCTCCACATTGGATAAAACTAGGGGATGTAATTTTTAGTGGGAAGATAGACAGAGAAGAGAATTTCTAAGCAACTTTTTTGTCTCTTCTGCAAGTAGTTTCTTTCCTGAAACTTCTTTTCCATACAATCAGAAGTATGTTATACACATGTGACTATTAAATGTACTCCTACATAAGCTTGCTTCAGAAATTTGCCAATATGTTCTGCTTCCAGAACACTTTTTAAGCCGAAACCCATAATTTTGAATAAAATATACAGATGTTTCCAGAAACAAAAGAAAATTGGAAATTTTATTAGGTAAATGAGAAACTCCTACTCTTTTCTGATAACTTCTTCCCACCTTTCACTGGAAGCTTTTCAGCAGCAAAGTGACTGCATTTATATTGTAGTGGATTTTTAGGGAGAGAAAAGCCATTGAAATTCAGATTAAAAGTCCATATCCTGTTTATCTTTTGTGAGTTTCCCTTCATCCATTTGGGTTTCTTTGGAAAGAAGTTTCCTGTGGGGAGGGGGGGGAAAGGGCTTTGAAGTTTTAAAGATTCATGGATTAAGCACTTTTCTCCCTTTCCATTCTATTTAAGATGTCCTAATAGATGCCAATTCTTTCACACGCAGTTCCAATTCATGAAATAAAATTATTCTTACAAATTCTATATCCTTTTTTATTTTATCTTTTGTGATGATTTTATCTGCTGTGATGATGATAATGGAGAGAGCTTTCACAATGAGAGCTAGGGGAAAGAGAGAGAGAGATTGTGTGTGAGAGAGAGAAAGAGAGAGAAAAAATTCGTGCATTCAGCACTGAGGCCTGGCCTCTATTAACACTGTTGGTTACATTTTCTGTTTATTTGTTCCTGGTAGAGGATTTGCTCCTTCAAATGCCATAGATGTGGCCTTCTGAGGAAGCCTTTATGTAATAAGGCCACAATTAATATTAGTATTTTTCAGGGTATGAGACTTCGTAATTGTATTGTGAAATATATTTCTATGAGGCCATTTTATTATTTTTAAACTGGAGGTAAAATTCATTTCCAACTCAAAACTTAAGTGTGTACATAGGCTTTCAGCTCTGTTTCCTATGGCTATGAACCTGTACTCTTATTAGGCTGCAAATACAGCTGAATTAAATGTATCATATTTAAAAGCATAGATTGTATGTCCATAATTGGCACTGTATTTACTTGAAAGGAGAATAGATTTCCACCTCCACCAGCCAAATAATTTGTAATGACACAGTCAACTTACATTAGCAGAGAAATTCAGACATATAAATTTTCTTTCTAATTTCCTTGGAGGTGGGATATCATCTTTAATTCAGAACTGTCTTCCTTTATGGTAAATAATAGTTGCTTAAAAGTGAGAGATCCAGTAATATTCATTAGGGTAATTACATATTCTGCAAATAAGTGCAGAAGCTTGACGGGGAGCCCACACTCTACTCTTAATAAACTCAATAATACAATGCTAACTTATCCTGGCAGATAAATTGGTAATTTAAGGAAAGTGCTGGTGAATCCAGGAGAAAAGAAATTATTTGTGGAAAAAAGAAAGAAATATTGGTAGGAAGATTTGAGTGAAGAAAAATATGTTGTGATAAATTTGTTGCTTCAAAATTGACTATCCTAAGTGTCAAAGGTAAACTTCAAGAATCACTGAATCATTTATGGTTCAATCAAATATGGATGGTATAGCATAACCACTAAGGTATCGCTGGAAATGTGTGGATGTGTTACTGAAAACTGTTGCAAACAAACACTAAGACTTGTTCCCATATGTGATCTGGGACTGACAATGGCTTCTATAATAAATTATGCTCCTGTTCTGAGTAGTTGCATCTCCCATCATTTGGCAAATACTTGTAGAATGTGAGCATGGTCTTGCATTGAAGCATTTGGAAAGGAGTTAAGATTGTCTCCCTGTATTGTCTCTGTTACTTGCCTTGTTTTTTGTCAATGCCATATCTGTCACTTAGCTTTGCTGTGGTAGATCCATTTGAAAATGTTGGTCTGAATGCACTGGTTTACTATATTATTATTATTTAGTTTTCCTGATAAACATTGTACTATTGGCTGCATTTTCTCTTTTTTTAGAAAAAAGAAGACTAAACACATGCTTTTTAAAGTATAGTTGTAAAATAACAAAATAGCAACAGGGTATTTCTTAAGCAGAATAAGGTGAACTGAAACAAGAAATAGGAGAAAACTTCAAAATGAAGCAGAGGAATATAAATCATATTCCTAAATATTTTGTTGCTGACTCATGACAAGACTTTAGTCAATATTTCTATTTAAT